TGTATACGATTTTAGCGCCTTACAAGTGCGGACACTTTTTAGCGCGGACCCGACGTCCATATAATTGTAAGTCAATGATTGCAAGCATTGGTTTAAGACATACTTAAGTTTAGTGCTAGTGGACATATGAGTAGAACTGTAGAAAAGGAATACATAATTAAAAAATATTTAGGACGCTTAAAGCTCACGTCACCTAATGTTTTATACAGTATTGAAACTTAAGTCAAATGCAAATTAAAACAGTGCCAGTATAAATAACTCTAAATGGAAATGTACAGACATTAAAATATTTAAAAAAACTCTGCGTCACATTAAAATGCCAGTCTCTGCACAACCATAAAAACCTATGTGTAATGTACAAAGATTATTGTTACTACCTTAGTACAAAATATATGGAATTTTTTTCGCTAGGGAAATTACAGGCACATGGCACTTGTCAACTTATGTCTCAGGGTGACAGACGCAGTGGCAGTGCCCCTAAGATCTTTTCGATTTAAAACTCTATGTGGCAGTGCACCTGTTATGGATAGGCGTGTTGCTTATCAGCAAGCGCACGACTTGTTCCTCCCGTGGACTTTGTTATATAAATATATAAATTTGTCTTGTTTTTTTTTGGAAAGAGGGAAAGAAATTCGTATTAGAACTGCAAGTAGGGCAGGCGTAAATTTACGGAACTTTTGATGGATAAAAAAGTTGTAAAAGGTTTCATCGAACATCTAAAGGTAGTACGCAAAGGTCAACATATCTATTTACAAAAATTTTTATCCATCTGGGGCAACTGTACTGGCATTTACACTCCTACATTGTTTTTAAATACATATTTTTTAAATTTCTATTAAGTATTTTTTATAGAAAGTAATTTGGCCAAAAGTGTTTTATTTATTAATTTGTAAAAAGAACTTTCACAAGTAATGACAACTTTATATAGAATTGATTTTATTAATAGTCGCAACGGAATATGAGAGAGGTGTTGTCGGGCGAACGGACTGACAGCATAATTAGATTTTTAACTTTCCCTTGTCTTCTCCGCACTTCGAAAGGTGGGGTCAAAGGCATCCGACGCTCTATTGTTTAAATTGCAGTGCTTGATTTTTTTAAATTTCATTACATTCTGGTCTGAAGTCACATTATTGCATTCTTGTGAAACAAAAGGCCAACGGTTATTTACTAGTTTAATTAACGTCTTGAAATATTGAGTTCACCTACTTTCTATTCCATTTAAAGGATTTCTAAAATAGGTAATATAATACTAAAATAACACTCCACATTCACTATCACGGTAACCACAAACGTCTTTATAACATCTATCCACATTTAACAAACCTTAAGGACACCTTCAAATTAGGTGCTTCTACAAACTCTGCAGTGGCGCGACTGTGGTGCGGCTTAAGAACAATAAATACCGTAGAAGGGTGAATTTCACTTTCCGAATTTCAATGTCACTTTTTGAGTGATTTTTGAAAAACCCGTTTTTCTTTTGGTTTTAAGATCTTAAACGTACAAATAAGTTCAAACAATGTCAATAATTATAAAATCACAGAAATATTTAAGTTAAATACAACTAAAAACGATATTTTAGGTCACACGAATGAGATTGCAGTAACACGAATGATTTTCTCATAAACATAAATGAAAAAGACGGCACAGTAATGAGAAATTATTATTACAACACACATCGTTCACAAAAGAACATTTAACATGTAACAAATATTTTAATATAACTTCTTGTATCAAAATCCTTCTCATCCATGTCAGACCATCTATCTATCTATACGTAATGAATAAATAAATCTAAATAAGTATTTCGTTAATGTCATATAAACTTTGTTGTACATCAATATATCATCATCACCACCATCAACATCATCATCATGATCACCATTATCATCAGCATCATTACCATTCACATCATCATCACAATCATCGTCATCATCACTACAATCATCACCGTCATCACCGCCACCGTCATCATCGCCATCACTACCACTACCACCATGTAATTGTTATATTTCAAGTAAATGTTTGGCTTAAAGTACATATTTAAATTAAAAGTAAACAAGAATGAGAACGACAATAATGATATTTGGATACATTTTTAATTGTCATGTATGTAAAATATGCTGGATCGTTATAAAAGTGCATGGATTTTAAAGTTCCCTTTGTCTAATTGATGTACAATAAACTTTACAAAACTATTACTTATTATTTATTTAGCTTTATATGAATGAGAACGATTTAGTCATTAGCGCTGAAATTGGTATTTAAGTCGATTTTATGCTAGAACGGAGATGCACAGGTTACTTCACTGTGTACACTCCAATCCAACAGGAGCCCCTTCTCACGTGTGCGAAGGGTGAAGGTGATGCGGTATGAAATTTTGTTATTAGGAGGCTTTTAGTTGAATTGACACTAATGATAAGAAAAATTGAAACACATTTTGTATTCCCGAGAAAACATGTTTGTTTATAATAAATTGGAAAGTTACGGTATGTATTTGACGTGTAAGTTATTAGAGTTTATCCTCGATGGGTAATATTGCGATTTCCAAGCGTGTTTAATTTTTTCTTCTTTTCTTAAAATTAGGACGACGTGGAACCGGCTCTCATGAATGAGAAATTGCCCACTTTTTTAATTTTTATTTATTACTGTGACGTAGTAAAATAGTCTTTTTATGTGTAACACAGACTAAGTAAGCAAGCAATCATATTAAATAAATAATGCTTAGCATTCATGTAATAACATAAAAGTTATTGAAAGGGACACTTTTTTGGAGATTATCTGAAAACGACTCAGAAGGGCTAGAGGGCGGGGACGCGTGCCAACAGTACGCGCAGTTCCACATACTTGTGGCCTAGCCTTAGCGAAAGTAAAGGAAGGACCCGGCCATATAAATGCATTAGAAGTAGAAAATGAAATGTTTTTTTTAACTCATTAATAAAAACTACGAATAATCCATAACGATTTCTTTCCTGAATCAGAGGATGCACCCAGAATCTTTTAGGCCTTCTTCTTTTAATTCTTCGATGAAGTAATAAAAGATGAGTCCATGGCGACGTCTGAGACTTAACTGACGATCTCAATCGATCGTAAATAACCGCGCGCCTTGCGATCCTCTCCCGCCAAGTTTGCCGGCCGTTCCGTAACCGCGGCGGCTACGTGACCGCACAAACCTGCGGTATCGTGAGTGTTGAAATAAAGCGGGCGCGGGTCAAAACCGCTTCGTGAGTTCTGTTTCTTAGTTTTCGTGATAGCAGTTCTGAAGAGTCGATACTACCTGCGCTCGAATTCAATTTTTTTATTTTTCATTTTGCTTGGGTCGAGCGGCAACGTTGACTTTACGTCAGAATTTATTTTTTCACAAACGAAATTAAAGCCATATGAAAAATTTTGTATAGACATTACATAAATATGTATAAACATTGTATAGACGTGTTCTATTTAGTTCAGTTGATATAAAAAGAATCACTGCTATTGAATACAGCGGTTTTCTTGTAAAATTTAGAGATAAGTTTGTGTTTTTTTTTGCTATCGTGATTTGTGTTTTTACACTGTATAGTAATCAGTGTGTATCCTCAATTTTACTATATATCTTTTTCAGCAACCAAAGCCGTTGTATAGACTCATAAGGTACTTCGATTGTTTTTTCTTCGACAGCCACGCCACTAATAATTTTCATACATTATCTAGTCTGCAAAAGTGGTGCGCGGGTGGCGCGACCGTAGCGGGACCGTAGCGCTTCAGTTGCGCTTCTAAATATAGTATGAAAACTAGTAGTGACGCAGCAGCTGCCGCGCCACAAACGCGTTACTGCAGTGCTTCTACAAGCGTCTGTTTTGAGGGCGCCCTGACCCTTATTTATTTACTTTAAAAAACAATCGTCTTGTAAAAAGTTACAAATTTCAATCATTTGAATTAATTCTGCTAGATAATTTTTGTGTCTAGGTTCGACCGTCCCAAGAACACCAACATTTTTAAAATAAAAGGCACTCTCCTGACCGAGTATCACTCCGATTTTTGACATCTGAAGCGTGTTACCGAATCGGATCCAACCCTAGATGTTTGTATATATTGTGTTGTGTATGATCGTCACACGCTCTATAAATTACTAGATAATCTTAGGAGTATACACAGAAACGTAAATCAGGAAGTATCTACAAGAGTGCTAAAAGTAAAGGGACCTACATGCTGTACGGTGCATGCCATGCCGTGACACGGATTCATGCTCAGAATTTGGTGTCACTAATGCACACCTTTACGCTAGGATCATCCTCTTCTACCTCCGCCATAGTTGAGAGACGTCGTTCCATTTCTGATTGTGCGGTTTTGGATAGTTTCTTATGTTTGTTACTGTCATATAGAAAGAAAATCATGTTATTTTACAGTTAGGTAGTTAATTTGGTGCTTTAATGATCAGCCATTATTTTGGCCGCTTTTCGAGTCCAAATTTCTGGATAATCTCAGTGCGTTGGACCTTGAAAAGTATTCCTTTCATAATACAATCTACATTGTCGTCGTGTAACTAATGGTACTTACCTCTTTTTGCCCGCCTTTGCCTTTGTATTTTTTGATTTATTGCTATTGTTCACTTGCTTCCATATTCCAGTTTTATTCATCTCTTCAGATATGTTTATCGATGCTAAAGGTATGTTCATAATATTCCCATTTATTAAAGGTATTTGGAGATTTTCCTGGTAAGCTGGCGGGTTGCTTTTGTAGGTATCCTATAAAATACGGTGATATTTTTATTTATCGAAGTAGAAATTTGATGCAAAGCTGTATAAGTTGCGTGGATGCAGAATAGAACTTAAAAATGCTTGAATCTACTTACTTTTGACATATGAAGTCATAGGTTAAAAATTTTGTGATATAGTGGCAAGGAAAGTAAAAATGATGATGAAAATAAAATACGAGTGTATTAACAAAAACTAAGTTTATTTCAGAACAGCGGTTGCAAGGACAAAAATAAAGAGATTGCATTAGCAGAATGGGAAATAAAATGATCTGTTGAAATGAGATCAATTCCGACGGCACAGGCGAAACATCTTTGCATGCCATCCCACCTCTGCATTTCCTAGTTCATGCAATTCGTCCTGGTTCCTCTTTGTCATTTCTGGCATAACGTCATCTAGAATCTTCAGCTCTCGTCTTGTGAAAAACAGGTCCAATGACTTCCTAATGCCAATCATAACGACCAACATCAAAGGGAATAGGATTGAAGTTAGAGAGAAAGACTTTATCACCCATAGGCACACTAGACATGTCAGTTGAATCGTCGTAAAGAGATGTACTCGACGTATTGGTACCTTGAAAGAAAACAATCACAATACGTTGAAATAATTTAATCGACAACAATGAAGAATGCTCAAGATATTTTTGCATTAGTATTACCTGTCTTAGGAACATGTGGTCTGGTTGGTACTTCTGAGGCATAAACATGATTAAGATTCTGTCAAAGAACTGAAGTCCTTTTAATGAAGCTACGCCCATATAGAGAAAGACACCAAATAGCACAGGCATTGGTATTCTTTTTAAAACAGGCGTTAATACGACAGAGCACCCTATAGTTAAGAAGATTAAAATATGGGTCACTCTTTGCTCTCTGACTCCCAGGAATTGCGGTTTTTCTCCAGGAGCTGCGCATTCTGACTCCACTTTCAAAGAATTTACGTGATTGATGCTTAACACTGTCGCTGCTACGAACCAAGGCAATCCCATTATTGAGCAAATCTGTATCAAAATCGCTAGCACAAACAAGTCTAAGTGATATCCACATCCTTTTTTCAGCTTATTTTCTTTTCGATTCACAATAACGGCGGTGATTTGCTGATCCATGAATATTAGAATAGTTCCCAATAAAGCTGGCAATATTGCTGCAAGAGCCGACCAAATAGGGTTTCCTTTGAATGGTGTTATAATCCAGTTCCTAGATGGTAAAGTTGGCTTGAATTCCGCGGGTACTTCGAGTTTAGGAGTTTTGACTCCAACTTTAAAATCCAGAAACGACATTAACAAAATTGCTATGATTACAGAGAAGTCGCTTATTATTTGGCGGACCTGAAAATTTTCAATGGGGTGTCAAAACACTTTAGATAAATTTTTTGTTTATCACATTACACTATACAATGAATTGCATTACCTTAGATGGGAAGAAAAGAGAGTTCTTAAAGTCCTTCAAAATTACAGATATAATAAAAGTACCCAAGAACAATATAATGGACATCAAAAATACATCGGGCACATAAACTTTTGTATCACATCCTCCACCTGCTAAAGTTCCATTATATATCTGAAATACAAACAATAATCTATCTGTATTTTTATTTTATCCACCAAAGATTGTTAACTTGGAAAATGTGACTGCGACTTTTTATCTTTTTCAGGAAAATTTTAAAAATTACCTGACATGACTCTTTGTCAACAGCTGTCCAGTTAAATTGCTCGGGCACTCTCGAGTAATTGCTTGGCAAACAGTAGCACTCGTAATTGAGAACCTCGTCGGGGCGTGTCTTTAGAGGGTAGTTCTTTCCAATTGAAATTACATTTTCTACAGCCTGCGACATTAAAAATACATACGTATACTTTGTGTATACAGAATAACATTAACATTTTATATGCATAGATAACGTATAATACCAACCTTGTAAATGAATATGAACGCTATCAAAGTAGCAAAATTCTCCTCAGTGAATCTAGTAATGTAGCAAACCAAAGCGCTTGCATCGATTGCTACTAATATAATCAAAATAATTGTGATCCAAGTCCCAATACAGAATCTAAAGGCCATATAATCCCAACCTATTTGTTTGCAGAATTCAAATACTATAGTCTCAAATACCAACACTGGACCTGTCGATCCCAATATCGTTAATGGTTGCCCTGAAAAGAATCCATATCCCATTCCACATACAAATCCGGATATTAATGATTCCATTGCTGCCATATTTTTCCCAGTGGCTTCTCCTAAGAGTCCACCAAAAGTTATTATAGGTGATAAACACGCAAAGTAAAGGAAAATCCATGAAGCGACGCATTGTATAGCTAATGCGTCCTTGAAGTCAGACCAATACCAGGGTATCTTTCTCTTAAGATCATTCATTAAACCTCCAAATAGAACTCCAGTTCTGGATAGTCCCGACTCTTCTCTTTGTTTTTGCTCTTGTTCTTCCTCATCTGGTTCCTCCTTAGGATTATTATCATTGGGTCGTTTACGAGGATCTTGAGATGGAATAGCAGCTGGCGGTTCTATACGAATTGCTGGATCCCACTCTCCTGGAGGCAATACAGTAACAGCATCCAAAAATTCATCAATGCCTGCTAGTAAATGATCTCTCTTTTTAGCGCGGTATGCAACTTCGTGAAATATTTCATCGGACATTAATGTTGCCATTGCTCTGCCGATTTCGTGAAAACTAGAATTACTGTTTGGTGGTCCGAGCAACACGAACATAAATCGTGTTGGTACGGGGACTTCAGTTAAATCCCCCATTATTATTGCGGTTTTTAACCTTACGAATGCTGATAACGTTTTCTCGAGGAAATCAACTTCACCGACAAGAATGTTAGAGGCTTCGGCACCTGGTGGTATTTTTCTCATGAAGTTTGTATTGGACTTGTGATTCACATCTCCATTTGGCAAGTCACCTGTGCTGTGATTTCTTTGCATTGATATGCTGCTGGGACTTTTAACCATGCCTTCCTCACCGCCACCTAAAATTTGTTTATTTATTTGTAATGCAATAATAGATACATACACTATCGAAAAGCGTAACAGAAATGTAAAACGTTTTAACACTGGTCTTAAATAGTGCTCGGAATATTGAAAATAAAATAATAAGTTGATAATTGTGCTAAATATAAAGACTTGTAAAAGTTTTTAATTCCTACTGTGACAATTAATTCTTAAAAATAATAATTTAATATAACAGTAAATCTACTTTCCTAATTTCAAAATTTCGAAAAGAAGCGTGAGCGAAAGCTTTTCTATAAAATAACGCAACGTGAACAGTAGCATTTAGCCATATTTTATACGTTGATTTGCATTAAGTAATTATGATAAAGACCAGGAAAGTAAAAACAAAAATTACGGAATTGGGAAATCGAAAAGACAACACTTATGAAGATGAAACAAGCGGTTTACCCGCGTTAGGGATGCCTAGTAAACGACTGAACTCTCCTTTGTGGGAATGTCCACTTGTCGTACCGCCGTCATCCACTGGAATGATTACAACGCTTGTTTGAACATGTCTAATATAAAGGACGTGTGGTTATTTATAACTAGGGATGACACAATTGTGTACAACATAAAACATTAGCCTTGATTTAGTGCGTGAGCGTGTTCGTCAAGGGGCGTGAGTTGTGGATTTGCGCACGTGTGCCGTATCTCACGCTCTGACCTGGAACAGCTAGGTAAGAGCCTCTGGCATCAGAAGCCTGGAGCAGAGCAGTGTTGGGAGATGACGAGGACCCTCGACAACTCCTCGAGCCACCGTCCTGGAAATCTGATTGTATACCACGACATCAATTCTGGTAAAACATTAGATGATGGTTAGGCTTGAGTTATATCAAAAAGTCCCCCTAAATAAAAACATTTTGAAAGAAAATGTTATTGTTAAAGAATGTGAATATATTAATAAATTCAGATACGGAGAGAAGTTATATACCAGTAAAAATTATGTATTTATTTAATGGAATGGAGAAATAACTTACTTTTACACGATGAATGGTTCTTGCCAATATCAGCTAAGGATCGAATTAGGGGCAGTTTTGACATGTTATTATGGTTTCTCCTTTCATGCTGATGTCGGTGCCTCCTCAGCAAAGCTTCTTTTACTTTCTCTCTGCAGTCGTATCCAAGGCAGCCATCGGCTACCATATTGTCTAATACATTTTCCGCGACTTGCTCCAAAGATCCAGCCTCCATATCAAGAATAACGGATCCATTTAGAATTAGACTTCTCAACTCAAAAAGTGAGTGAAGAGACAGCGTTGCAACATGTGGTTTTGACCACCTATTTCCCCCTTCTTCCACATCTTCTTCGAATTTGATCCAACGTGCTGTTTCTTTCCATTCCAGCTCATCACCATCTTTGACCAGTTCCTCCATTTCAGAAAAAAGTGGATGAGATTCCAGAGCACCATCATCGACATCCTCACCAAGTATAAACTGCACTCTTTGGGCTGGTGGAGTTACTGTAAATAATTTTATGTATTAGTTTATTTTTAAAGACTGCGTATGTGTAAGAAAGAAGAAAATGGAAAGAGTTGCCTAATAACATAATCGCAAAGGTAAGCAAGACGTAGATGAGTTGCACGTGAAATTTTTGGTTGATTTGAATGGATAGGCTTTGTGAATGGAAATAACCTAGGCACATCTGCGACTCATGCACGTGGTTGTAAAATACTCTAAATAAGAAATATGCACGAAAATTGAGTATTTTTTCACAAAACAGTTCTTTTAAGACCACACAACAAAACAATAAACAATCTCGAAAATGGTATCTTCAAGACTACAAGGAGACTCTCGCCACTATTAGTGTAATTAAAGTTCAAGACACCGCTTTCGCCATAGAACTGTATTGTTTTAATAAGACTTTACAACAAAGGAAATCGACTTCCATTATGAAGATCGTAAAGTTCATGCTGAATGGTACCAATAATGAGATGATTGACAAAAAAAAAACATCAAGGCGATAAGTTTTTTTCTACAGAACGTAGCTGTACATTTATAAAGGAAAAAGAACCAATTTTTCTGCTACACATTTTCTTACATGTTTCACCGTCATCCGTTACGCTCAGTCTTCTAATTCGCGCCATTACAGGGGGCCCTAGGAATTGGAATAATTTTTATGTAGACATGCGTTTTCGTTAATTTTAAGGTTTCGTTAATAAAACAAAATAGTAAATGCCGATGACTAAGAAACTTGGTGAAGATTTGTAATGTTTTTGGAGGCACTGTCAAAGTGATTTCTTTGGTACAGATTGGTGTCAGCTGTATTGACTAGCAGAAGTAATATAAACCTTTCAGATATGTTCGGAGTAGACATAGTGTGTAATACAAAAACCAGCGAGCGTCAAGATTAAGAATATATCGTGTTTACTAAGGCGAATAGGTGTCTAATTTCTAACTGCTGTAGTTAGTTAGTGCGCCATGGTCGCTCAAAGGGTAACCAAATTCACTGTAGTATGAAAGGGAGTGTAATTTTGTACTCTGTAACTATGTCACTAGTGTTAGTAATATACATGTTTATGTACCTACGTAAAGGCAAAAACGTTGGAAGGTCGAGATTTTCGGGTCAATGGGACACCGACGGCATAATGCTTCACTTCAAGTGACATGGTTTTACACGAGCTTATAAGATTTATAACTTCTTATATATATATTATTTTTATAAGATTTTTAAAGACTTTTGTGTAAAGATGTTTTGTCATCACTTTGGGGTAAAAGTTCGATATAAGAAGTGGGATTAATTTTTAAGATTCAAAATTATTTCAGTGTTCTTTTAGGTGTAGTTTTTGATCCAGCGCCCACTGATGGGTGGGACGGCTCGCCAGGTGATTCTTCAGCATCTCTACATGCAAGCGCACACTGACGGCAATTATATCGCGGTGTCCTTAAGCATGCAGAAGCATGCTTAGGCTAGGCATTTCATCGCGACATCCTGCTCGCGCCTGACCTCTCTTCACCTTCAGATGTCTGCCTCCCCTCGCCCCGCATGTCCATATAGTCGCACTCGGCGTCTGGAAGTCTGCCGATGCATAGATAGCCAAGAGTGCCGAGGTATTTCGTAGGCGGCCGGTTAGGTCAGGTTTTGGGGATATCATGGACCAATAAATAACGGGATTGCAAATCGCGATACAAGACAGTGTAGTCGGGTATTTAGTACTTATTGGTTCACCAAATATCGCGACGAGTAGCAAATAGCTTTTTTTGGAACTAATTTGTTTTACATTGACAAGCTGCAATTTATCAAAGCTGCTGTAATTTCTAGTAAAAACAAACAAACTAATTGGATAGTGCTTATTGCATAGATTTTCACGGATAGTCGGCTATTTTTTTTGTTGTTTAAGATTAGCGCCATCTACCCATATTAGGAAGCGTTAATTTATAAATTAGTTTGTAGCATCGGGGCTGGATTGTCCGGAAGTATTATCGAGAGTCGCACATACACGTCCAAACCTAGGCAACTTAGCAAACCTTTTCCAGGACAAATTTAATGAGCCATTCCCCGGTGTCCAGGATAGTTTCCAACTACAATAGCCTGAGTTAAGTAGCATGCAGATTTTCACATATATTTTGAAAGTTTACCCCGTCATAAGGACAAAGTTGTCGGGGCCCGCTCGTCAAATATTGGTAATAAAAATTTTTATTCTTTTTTTTTCATTTTTGGACATTTCAATTTTGTTTTTTGTGTATATTTAAAAGTCATTTAAAATTAATCTGATGTAAACAATAAGAATTAAATGTATATTTATGATTGAATAATGTATAAATAGTTTATTATTTTAATTACATTATTTTGAAGTGAATATGACAATGATGTGTTCGGCTGTAATTGGGTCACATAGATACTAGTCTTGTATTATTTTAATAATGTATGTAAATGTTAAGTATGTTAAGTTGTTGCTGAACCAATTAATAAATAAAACAAACACTATCATCTGTTAATACGCATATTTATCAAGGTTCTGAAAATAATTTTAGCTCATTATCAATAGTTGAATGATATTACATGGACAAAAATGGTGGTATATTAGGGGTTAAAGTATGAAATTGCCGTTTTATTGCAATAGGTTCTTTGAATTTTCATAGAATCTTCATGGTTTGCGGTTTTCGAATGAAACTTTTTTCAAATGGGTTCTGTGATTTTTTTTTAAATTTGAAACATTTGAATATCGACTTTCAATTGTTTTTGTTATTCAATTTAGACATGAAACATGGATACTGCGAAAATTCGAGTGATTTTTGAATACGAGTTCCGACGCGGAACTAACGCGGCAGAAACAGCCCGCAATATCAATGCTGCGTTTGGAGAGGGGTCTACTAATGAACGCACCGTGCGATTTTGGTTTAAACGCTTTCGTGATGGAAATTTCGACTTAAAGAACGAGGCACGAGGAAGACCGCCCACACAGGTGAATAACGATGAATTAAGAGAGATAGTGGAAGCCGATCCTAGTCAAACTACCCAGGAATTAGCGGCATGGTTTAACGTTACCTTACCCACAATATTGACTCCCTTGCGTCAAATCAATAAAATAAAAAAATACGAAAAATGGGTGCCTCATGATTTGACTGATCTGCAGAAAGAAACGCGTGTTGAAACTAGTGTTGCCTTGTTGAACCGGTACAGAAATGAAGGAATATTGGATCGAATTGTAACATGTGATGAAAAGTGGATTCTTTATGATAACCGGAAAAGAAAAATGCAATGGCTGACCCCAGGTCAATTGCCACAACAGTGTCCTAAAGCAAAACTTACCAATAAAAAGGTAATGGTAACTGTTTGGTGGTCTCAGCATGGTGTTATTCACTATAGTTTTCTCCGATCTGGTCAAGCAATAACGGCAGATGTCTATTGTGCCGAACTCCGAACCATGTTGACAAAACTAGCAGTAAAACAGCCCCGACTCATGAATCGATCTTCACCATTATTGCTCCACGACAACGCGAGACCTCACACAGCACGAGAAACCATTTTGACCCTTCCGGAACTGCAGTTAGAAACCATTCGTCATCCTCCGTATTCACCAGACCTTGCTCCAACGGACTACCATTTTTTTCGTGATTTGGACAATTATCTACGTGACAAGAAGTTTTCTTCCCAGGAGGCAGTACAAAATGCTTTCACACAGTTTGTGCAGTCTAGATCGTCGGAGTTCTATCGCAAAGGCATTAATAACCTTCCCATTAGATGGCAGCAATGTATAGATAATAATGGCAACTATTTTGATTAAATAAATTTGTTAAAAATTTAAAAAATAAACAATTTAGATTTTCAGTACAAATCGGCAATTTCATACTTTAACCCCTATTATTTCATATGAAAGAAGAATTAATTAATATCCACGGCCATTTACATAATATAAACTACTTCCTAACTATTGATCAACGCCATCTAGACTAAGACGGAATTTTGAACAGAACCTTTTTCGGAGCTACAATCTGTAGTATGACCATTAGCAGTACTCTTTAGTTTTTGGTCCATGGTATCCCTAAGCATGCTGCAGCTTGTTTTTGTAGCTACGACCATTATCATTGAAAGAAGGATGGCGACATCCCGTGTATTTTCTGACCTAGTGTTTTTGACGACGTGCATTAAGGAGATCTATCAATACTTGTGTTTCATTATCGAAGCATCAAAAAAGCTAATTGAGTACAGCCTGTAGAAGCTGGGATTGTTAAGTTGATAAAGGTTATGTTTTTAATATCGTATTTCTGTATTTTTAATACTGTATTTCGTTTCACATGTTTGTCCGTAGTAGCAGAAAACAACAAGTTTTCAGTTTGTTCCCAAAAATAATAAAGAACTTCCCGAATACGAGTATTCCTAAATCTGCCAAACTCCGCCACATTTAATATAACTTATCATGTTCTGCAACAATGAAAATGAATAAAAATTAAATCTATCAAATGGCAGAAATCTGCCACAAATGGTCACACTGTCCTCAATATTAATGTGACATTGACATTGGCAAGAGGCACAGACTATTAGATGCTAAGAGGTCTCTTGTAAAAATGTTCCTTTGCAACTTTCATTATCTCTCATTTAAATATCGTCTGAATATTTTTGTCACTTAGTGTTTTAATTTTTGCTTTATGTCGTTACTGTTTAATTGATTATTTGATTAGGTATTTTATAGCTTTAATGTTTTATGTGTGTACTATAAAATAACCAATACTTCAGGTAGGTAGATAAACATTAAATCGTGGTTAAAATGAAACATATATACGAGAACGCTACCTAATCTATGGTCGAACTCAATCAATTGCGTTGTGTTCTTACATCCTTCCTAAAATACAATGTTTTACAATTTTTTTTTATTCCCGAGTTCTAAAAATATACAAAAGTATATTGATAACTAGGCATAAACTACAACGCAAAATTATACTAGCAAAGTCCACGAACGCCTCTTCGTTGTTATTGGGGCAGTTTTCGCCATCCTTCTTTCCATATTAATTCTCGTTACCTAAAAATCCTCTGTCGCACCCATCAGTGGGCTCTAGGCCTTAGTCAAAGTTTTAGGACGTTTAGTTTTTAAAACCTTCAGTTACTCATAAGGTTTTGCAAATACGCTGTAACGTTTTTCATGAAAAAATTTCAATTTTTGTGTATTCAGCCGAAATCGTATTCAAAGGCACTGATTCCAATTAACATTCCGAGCATTCTACTTCACAGGCTTATACGTCTTGGCCATTACTTGTTTTGGCAGTAAAACCCTTTTAATAGTCATTTTGATTACTCTTCAGCTGCTCGCTGCTCAGCATCGTGTCGTAAAAGTGGAATTTATATTTAATTCTTCAGATAGCTATTTATTTGCCTTCAATAACTGTAGTACTTACTGTTTACATTATTCTCTTGCTTTATTTATCAAGCTTCTACCTAAAATATTAATATACTGAATATACTGGGCATTCCACTGCCATAGGTATCATAAAAATATTCCCATACGGGGTCAGCTTCAAAAATGTTTGGAATCTTTCTTTTAGTAACATAGAGCTTCTTCTGAAAGGGTTCGTCCAGGGAAATGCTGCCTATCTTACCTATTTCTACCGCAAAGTGGAAATGTGAGCATTCATATGTTCCGGTTTTGAAGGGTGAGGGGTGCTGGTGAAATTACAGGCACATAGCCCTTGTCAACTTATGTCTCAGAGTGACAGGCGCAGTGGCAGATCTTTGTGATTTAAAACTTTGAGGGACACTGCAACTATTAAGGGTAGGCGTGCGCTTACCACCGGGCCTCCGTGGCCGAACGATTACCACGCCGGACTGCCACGCAGAGGTCCTAGGTTCGATACCCGGGCCGGGAGAAATATTTGTGTGGCCTACATTTATTTCTCTCGTGAGTTTGGGTGTAATTTCTGGTTGTCTATGTGTGTGTCTATGGCACCCGCGACACAGGGTTTCCCTAGTGCGGGGCTATGTTGAGTGTGTACGTTATTATTATTATTATTATTATTATTATAGGCGCACTTGTTCGTCCTGACATTTGGTATCATAAAAAAATGCAGTGTTATCTACTATTAAAAACAAAATAATGCCGCCATGAAGCGAAATAGATAGGATTATCTACACCTTTTAAAGTACCCACTTTCCCTTCGTGTCCCTTTGCCATGGGACGACCTGTTTAGATGATATTTATAACATTTGTTTTAAACTATATAATATAGAAGACGATTTAATATGATAATGAGGCACCCAGTCACTCTTATTGTAGTTAGATTTTTAAACGTAGAACACTTGTCTTTTTAGTAGCAGTAGAGCGCTAGTGAAAAAGTTCGTCTAGGCAAGTACTACCACCTTACCTATTTCTGCCACTAAGCTGTAATGTGAACATTAAGGTAAGGGGTGCTGGTAAAATTACAGGCACATAGCCCTTGTCAACTTGTCTCAGAGTGACAGGCGCAGTGGTAGTGTCAGATCTTTGCGATTTAAAGCTCTGAGTGGCACTGCAACTGTTATGGACAGGTGTGTAGCTTACCACCAGGCACATGACTTGTTCGTCCCGTCACTTGATATAATAAAAATAAACAATAGATGTAGGTTGTGAGTTGTGTGGTTTATTTCTCATAAAGAGATTTTCCGTACTCACCTGGACGATCGCTATCCTTCTCTGGTTTACGATGATGGTGCTTAGTCCGATGGAAAGCCCTTCTTGGAGCGCCCTCGGCCACATTACGGTACCCGAATACCGTGGCTCGGTGACCTGAAACAAGATCATTTATATGTAAGTATATTATTAAAATAAAGATCGAACAAAGAAAAAATCCTAAATCCGACTATACTTTCGCCACTTTCGCGACTTTTTCGCCAAAACGGGGCTATCTCTCTGCCAATTGAACTACGGAACGAGTTAGCAGACTTTACGAATTTCTCATCTCCGTGCTTATTGCAGATCTCCGTTTTTGGTTTTAACGGTTTTTTTGTCGTCGCGCCACTTATAAGAAACCTATGAAAGTTTTTTCTTCACACAGCTAGTTACTTTCACAGCTACCAGGGATGTGACAAGATTTGTCGCTTTATTAATTGCAATATTTATTTTGTTGATTATCATAATGTATTATACACAAAGTGACTTTTTGTTTTTGAACATGGAACCTGTAACATACGTAAAAAAGTGTAAGTATATTTAACTTTAAAAAAATGTAAAGTAAAAAAAAAACTGTAAAGTGTAAAAAGTGCTATTTTGTGGCTCACAACAACGTGGGAGGTATCGAAATACTGTAAGATTTTTAAGTTTGTAATTCCGGAGTGCTGCTTTGCCGTAAAAAAGGTTGCCTAGGCCCGTGGTGGTAGCTACCCAGACAAGTAGGAATGGACTTATTATAAATTCTAATTTATGTAATATGTTGCTTACAGTCCAACTTCTTAATACCCCTTAAAAAGTTACTACGCCAGCAATTTCAGGACTGGAAGTTATTTAAGAACATCTGCGTCGACTCAGCTACTTACTGACTTGATAAACCACGCTAATTAACTGGTTCAAATAATTCGTAAAGTTGCTTAATTTGCTTTTTAATTTGAGTGAAATGAGACCAATGTACACAGATACTTTCTATCTTGTGATTTTTTAGTTGCATGATTATTGTCATTTTTATTATAAGATGTACTGTTTTTTTTAGTAGCAGTAGAGCTCCTGTGAAACAGTTCGTCTAGGGTAGTACTACCACCTTATCTATTTCTGCCGCCAAGCAGTAATGTCAGCATTACTGTGTTCTGATTTTGAAGGGTAAGGGTGCTGATGAAATTACAGTCACATAGGACTTGTCAACTTATATACCAGGGTGACGGGCGCAGTAGTAATGCCCTTCACATCCTTGCAATTTATAGCTCTCAGTGGCATTGTAACTGTTTTTAAGCTTGCCATCAGGAGCACGACTTGTTCTTCCCGTCACTTGACGTTATAAAAAAAATGTACTGAAATGTAACACCGAAAATAATTTATGTTTATTATTTTATTAGGTACATTGAGTCGGTATTTATTCTAACAAAGTTTATTTAGTATTATTGGTACAAAGATCGGACAACACGAAGAAAAATTCTTTCGATATGACCGGACGAGAGCCAGTGGCTTCAGCATGGCAACAGATCCAGTTCAGAGTCAGTCGCGACTACATTACTCCACGAAGTCTGATGAGATAGTGGAGTACATCACATTAAAAGTCGAATACACCCTGAGAGTCGTGCGTTTGGATTTCCGCCACAACGTAAATTTTAATTTATTTGCGGTGAGAGTGCCGAACATCTGTCGACTTTTTGTCGACAAGAGTTTTGGCCGAAGGGTGTCTTACATCGGCGATTCCGCGGCAGGTTACCTGACACCAGATTACGCCACACGTCGCCGACAAGTGCAATTCGTGTACACTAGTTATTTAGTTTATTACATTGTTATATTATATTGTGTGTAACATACACATAATATAACATAACACTAATATAATAATAATAATAATGTAATATAATACAAAATTAAATAACTAGTGTACAAGTGTGTAACAAGTATAATTCGTGTACACTAGTTATTTAGTTTATTACATTCATTGACTTACAATTATAATATGGACGTCGGGTCCGCGCTAAAAAGTGTCCGCACATGTAAGGCGCTAAAATCATATACAGAGCGCCAAACTCCGCTTTAGTCTTCATTTGTTCGACTGACAGCGCGATACTGCGATGACATTACAATTTAAATTTCGAATAGGTTGACTTGGGACATTTTTTTCGTGGTTTTTGTATTAGACCCGTCGTCCATTTATTTGTAAGTCAATGATTACATTGTTATATTATATTGTGTGTATGTTAGTCCTTAAAGTATATTTTATATGGGTCATGTGGCCTGAATGAAATGAATGAATCAATTAATATGGTGAGTCAAATGATATCTAAGAAATTTGATTGTCCTTTGATGTGGAAACTCAGTCAAAGGTTGAAATCATTGTTAATTATTAAGAACTAACTTAGGCTTAGGTTTATTGTTACTAACCGACTTACGGACCTATTAAGTTGTGTGAATTAAAAATAAATAAATAGGAAATGATAGTATTAATTATTAATACAAAGATCGAACACTCAGAAAAAATTCCTTCGATCCGGCCGGATTCGAAGCGACGTTTTCTAGCATGCCGTGGCAGACGCTATACCAACTAAGCGACGGAACGAACCAGCGGACCTCATGAATTTTTCTATGTGCTTGCGCCGTATCGTTGTTTTGATTTTTCAACGACTTTTTAGTCGTAGCTCCATCTATGTGAAACCTATGATATTCGTCACCCAGTTAGATACCTTTACAGGTACCAGCCCCGGCTAGAGATGTCGCTATTCATTGTATTTAAATTTTTATTGAAATGATATTCAATAATTTTTATGTGAAATTACTCCACTAGTTTGTTATAATTATTAATACAAAGATCGAACATTCAAAAAAACAGTATGACTGAATGAAACTATTTGTTTCGGATCTAAATCGATTACATTTGATTTGTCAATTTCTATAACTAGTTGATGACTTTACCATATCAGTCTGTCGGATCATGGGACCTGCAAAGGGCCTAAAGAGCTGGTTGTTTGTTTGAAAAAACTAATACGCGATTTAGATCCGGAAAACCAGCTTCATGGTCCCATGTATAACAATCGCAAAAACCTAAGAACTCAAAATAAATGCTTACCACCGTTTATTATACTTTTCCATGATATAGTCTAATTTAAAAGCATGTCCAATTCGTGAAACTCTAATTCCATGCCTGCAGACTTGTTCCCTGAACGTTATAACTCGGGCCTTTTATTTAGGTGTGCATGCTCCATCGTGGACCTCATCGTCACTTTCTATCAGGTGAGATGGAGGTCAATCGCGCATTTATATTTTATAAAAAAAAAAGAAACCATACTAGTTTTATGTGCAACATGTCACACGATAGCAAGCGTGTATGTCCTTATAAGAAATGCAGAATCATTTGTGGAACTTGTATGTGTAATGGTGTGTGAAAACCTGTAATAATATATAATAGTCCTATAATAATAATAATCCCCTTGACCGTGAAGTAATAATGGGCGACTGCAAACATATACCCTGTTTGTGTGAAATGTGTCATTACGATATGATTGCAGCTCTAAACAGTGTATTTGAGATCTGTATGATTTTTATTATTAGAGATTGTTGTAGGTAATTAATTAATTCTCGCAATTGTACAGTCATGAGTTTTTAGACTATGGAAAGTTCTTGTCGTGAGCGGGCGTAGAGTACAATTTGTGAATTGTACTCTACGCCCGCTCACGACAAGAACTTACGCCTCGACCACGAAAATATCGCCACCCTTAAAGCATTAATGCTCTGAAAGGCAAAGGATCTTTAAACCATGCAGCCTAGTTTATCAAAAATTGCTACGTTCAAATTCTTCATAGTTTGTACAGTCTAAATATTTGCTCTTTTTTATATTCGTCCCAATATAAAATTGAAACTAATTGACTAATTCTCGCCAATCCAATAAAAAGTTCTTGAGCTTTAATTAGCTATTTATCTAACCGCCTCCGTGGCCGAACGGTTACCACGCCGGACTGGCACGCAGAGATCCCAGGTTCGATTCCCGGGCCGGGAGAAATAGTTGTATGGCCTACAATTATTTCTCTCGTGAGTTTGGGTGTAATTTGTGGTTGTCTATGTGTGTGTCCATGGCATCCGAGACGCAGGGTTTTCCTAGTGCGGGGCTATGTTGAGTGTGTGCGTTATTTATTTATTTATTTAATTCAATGCATAGAACATTACATTGAAAGGTTTATTTCTTGTAAGCATATTTAAGTAAGTTACCTTACAGTTTTCATGATCATCAAAAAGCTTATCAGATCAAAGGCATATGAACAAAGTACGAGGATAAAAGTAACATAAGACTGAAGAAGAAGAAGAAAATGCTTTTATATAAATGAATAATGTATCATACACCGTTATGCTTTTATTTTCGTTTCAATGTGCGCACGTAATTGTCCAATCTGACAGTTGGAGGTGACATGTACGTGGTGGAAAATTATAGTTAAACAGTGCCCAGAAGTGCGATTTACGTAATTAAACTGTTACCGCCCAGACACAAGAGGAGAAAGGAGTCCGTGGCGGCTGCCGCGAAACAAAAGACAAGCTAGTGCCTTCCAGCTAAATAAATAGAGCGTATTTTGCCATGACAGTTCGGTCTCTGAGCACGTCACTGGGCGGCGGCCGCCGCAAACTCCGCTCTTCGACCGCGCGGGGTGAGCGCGGTGAAATTCGTGTCGTATAAACGCGCCCTTACGATGTCGTAGCGATTGAACTGTTTTTTCGTAATCACGTGTGACAGTCGAGCTTCAACGAGTCCAATTTTAAAGTCGTTCGTCCAAATGTAATTAAAGCGTATTCTGGTATATGAATCGAACTTAAGTTGATTCTAAACGTCAAGTTTGACTTTCGACGACTGAACGTCAAAATTCATAATCCAAGATATCGTTCATTAGTAGTTACACTTCGATTCTATTCATATCAACGTTCGTTCAAGTGATACGTGAATACCAATTTTGGATAGGACTTCGATCGAACGACTACGTGAATCGCACTAGAGGTCACTTTCTATATGACCGCATGTAAAGACGCAATGAAATTTCTATTGAGATAGGAAATGAAACTATTTTTCCGGATTTAAATCGCGTATATTAGTTTTTTCAAACAAACCGACGTTTGGTGAGGTGAGG